GCAGAGGGTAGGGCGGGGGGCTCCTCAGTCTTCTGGGCTCGGATGTTTTCTCCCCCCACCTCCCCACAGCTCTGAGCAGCATCAACGCCCTGATCCATCAAGTGCGGCAGACGGCAGCCGGCCTGGAGCGAAGTGCCCTGACAGGTGACAGACAGCTCCTCCCCCCACAGTGCCCCACAGCCCTGTGCCCCACAATCCCATGCCCCAAAGCACCCCATGGTACCTCCCCAGTGCCCCACAGCGCCCCATAGCCCCACTGTGCCCCACAGTTCCACAGCCCACAGTGCCCTGCACTCCACAGCCCCATCTCCCCAGTAACCCACAGCCCTGTGCCCCACAGCGCCCCCCAGACCCATGCCCCACAACGCTGCACCTCACGTCTCCTAGCCCCGTGTCCCCTGTGCCCCACAGCACCCCTTGTTGAGACAGGCTGGGCTGGGCTAGCTGGGGGCTCCCCCGCAGCCAAAGCCCCACCCTGTGCCCCACGGTGCTCCCTGCTGGCAGCAGGAGGGCTGGGGTAGCCTTGAGACCCCCATGGCCTGTGCCCCACAGCACCCCCTGCTGGCCTCACTGCCCCCAGTCTCCCCCAGACCAGGCCCTGCTGGACGCGTTGGTGGCCTACAGGCACAGCCTGATCATGGAGCTGAAATCCGCGCTGACGGAGCATCAGGCGAAAGGTACCAGCCCCCAGGAGCTCCCCCTCCTCTGACCCCCTTCAAATCTCCCCTTTGGGGGCCCTTCAGGCACAGTCTGGGGCTGCCATGGTCTCTCTCTCTCCCCCCAGCTTGCAACCTCCAAACCTGTGGTAAGTGGCCGTTGCATCGCTGCTCAGGGAATGGGGCAGGGGCCTTCCCCCGCCAGGGGGCACCGCCCCGATCCGGCCCCAGGGCAGGGAATGGGGCAGGGGGCCTGTCCCCTCTAGGGAGCACTGGCTCCCCCCCAGCCCCGGGGCAGGGACTGGCTGGCTCAGCGGGGTGGGGAATGGGGCCCTAAGGGGGAGGAACTGGCGGCTTAATGGGGTCTGGGACTGGGGGGGGCTAGCTGGGAGTCTGGGGGTTCACTCTCGCCCCCCTTCCAGACTGGCTCTACTACGACGTCATGGACTGCACCACATGCGGGAAGAGCAAAGCCACCTGTCTCAAGCGGCACCGCTGCTTTGGTAGGGG